GGTCCAGACAGAGACAGAGACCGAGAGAGCGGCATGTGCAGGGTGCTGTGCACAGTGCAGGGGCGGGGTCCTGGCTACAGGAGAACGCGGCTCCAGTGGCCACATGGGGTGGGGTGCAGGGTCAAACCCAAGGAAAAGCCTGGTCACAACGGGTCCAAAAGAGCATGGGCATTAAAATGCCGCTCCGAAGATTTTTAATCCCTGGCCAAAGGTGATCAGTAAATGGTACTTGCATCCTACTCCAGGGACAATGGTCATCATCAAGAAATCAAACAGATGCTGGGCAACAGGGTGTCACACGCCTCAGTCCCCACGTAGCCAGCTTGGGTGACGCAGTTCAAGCCCAGTGTGCATTATGTAGTGAGATGGGGGGGGGGGGGAGAGAGGGAGGGAGGGAGGAGGGAGGGGACAAACAAACGCTGCCGAGCCTATGGGGGACAGAGGAGCTCGTCTGCGTTACTGAGGGGAACATAAACGGGTACAACCACTATGGAAATCAGTATGGCGATTCCTCAAAAACTAAAAGCAGCAATTCCATTCTACCCAGCTGCTCCCCTCCTAGACATCTTCCTGAAGGAGTTCCAGGCATCCTGCTGCAGTGATAAAATGCATGTCTGTGTTTACAGCGGTGTAATTCACAGTAGCTGAGTCTCAGGAGCAGGCTGTGTGTCCATCAGCGGATGCACGGGGGAAGAAGGTGCGCGGTGCGTACCCGACGGGGCACTACGGAGCCACCCGTGAGGATAAACCTGAGTCATTCGTAGGAAAATGGGTGCACCTTGAGACCGTATGTTAAGTGGAGTAAATGAGACACCCTCTTAACTGTCCCATGGCTTCTCCTCTGTGAGGAACCCAAAGTGTAAATAAATTAAAGAGCAAAATAAAAGGCGAATAATATGAAGCAAGGAGCTAGAGCTTTTGTAAAAGGGAAAGGGACCCAGAGATGGGGGGAGGGAGGGCAGGGACGGGGACAGGGACGCAAACAAATCGAGATGTGTTATGTACGCGCACCGACCTTCCTCGAGCAATGTCATCTTTTATTTTTTTTTAACGGTAGCAAAGTTTTATTAAAGGTAGGAAAAGAAACAGGCTCTGCAGAGCGCGTCTGGGCCCAGTGTACCCTGCAGCGTGGGAACGGCCACCACGCAAGAGGGAACACGGTGCCGGGGAGCGCAGTTACTCTGTACTGCAAGCCTGCGCTAGTAAAATTTAGGGCAGGGGCTGGGGATTTAACTCAGCCGCATAGCACCTGCCTGGCAAGCGCGAGGTCATGAGTTCAATTCCCAGTACCGGAAACAACAACAACAAAAAAAAAACTTTAGGGCACAGCCATCCCTTCCAGTCGGCGGGCCCCACCCAGTTACTGGGTACACAGAACCCTGGTGTTTATGGCTCGGCCGGCGCCTCAGCCCACTGGGCACGGCAGCTGACCTTTCATTGCTTCCAGCAGCTCTTGCTATTTCGATTAACAAGAGAAACACCTCTGGAACCCAGAGCTGAGTTAAAGGTTATCCACACGGGGCTTGAGGATGACGGTGCGGTCCTGAGACTGCTCCGACGCAAATACATCGGGGCGCTGCAGACCCCAAACACAGGCCCCCGCGGGGGAGCGAGCCGAGGCTGGGCTCCATCAGTTCGGCCAAGTCCACGCTCCGGGCCAGTATCCCACTGCGAGTTCCGGCAGCAGCCTGCCCCCGCCCGCCAACCTCGCAGCCAGCCCCGCAGGGTCTACAGGAATGGGTGAATTATTGCCGCGAGGGTCCATCCACCCGGAAAAACCTAAATTTACGCCGCACTTCTGTTTCCCAGGGAGCTGAGCCTATTTCACATAGATTACCTCATTGATCTCCAAAGCCCTGTGTGGGAATTAGAATTATTATTTCTTTTTCCTCTTGACACTCGATCTGCAGATGGTGACAGATGTTGTGCTGATATTGACAGCCACCAGGCTCGCAGCAGGACGTGCTTCCAGCTCCGAGAGGAGCCCTGCAGCAGGAAGAGGAGCCCAGGGGTCTGGTCCTTCAGCACCCCCAGCAGGGGCCTGGTCCCTGGTCTTGTGTCTGCATCTGGTGTAACACAACGGGTCGGATCACACACACATCCCATGCCCCGTTGACGTGAAGAAGTTCCATCCCAGAGCCTGCCAGGCAAGTACAGTACCACTGGATCCTCCAGCTGGATGCCTTGCCTCCCCTGGGAAGGAGCACCCCGTCACCTCAGGGAACACGGGCTGTCGAGGAGGACCGCACACATCAGGAGAAAACCTCCGTGGCCCTGATGGTGCGGCCCCAGTGTGAAGATCCGGGGGTTTCTGGTTCCTGGCTGACAAGGATGGAGCCTATAGCCCTGCATCCAGGGAGCGCTGCCCTGCTTTCTGCCTCCCCCATCTTGCTCGGAACACAGCCGGGGAACAGGTGCCCTCCTTGTCGGAGGGACAGGGGGTTCTTGCACCTTACCACCAGACCCTGCTGGAGCTGATCCTCAGTGGCTGTGGCTGAGGACACAAGTAGCACACAAATGGATTCATTTACAAAAAATTTATTCATTTAGTTACTTATGTGTGGCAGCACTGGGGATTTTTTTTTTTTTTTTTTGGTACCGAGAATCGAACTCAGGACCTTGCGCTTGCCAAGCAGGCGCTTATGCCACTGAGCTACATCCCTGGCAGCACTGGGAATTGAAGCGAGGGCCATTTCCCCGAGCTACATCTTTGGCCTTTTTTTATCTTTTGAGACAGGGTCTGTCTAAGTCTCTAAATTGTTGCCCAGGATGAGCTCAAATTTAGGATCCTCCTGCCTCAGCCTCCCAGAGTGCTGGGATCTACAGGCATGCACACCACACCAAGGCCACTGCAGTGCTGTCTGCTTAAAAGCCAGCATTTGCTGGAGAGCAGGGGAGGTCACACAGGGGATGTGGTGGCTGGCAGCCCCCTCCTACGGTTTCTGCCTCCCCTCCAAGTTCTGCACTGAGCTGGGCCACCCCTAGCCCTCAGGCTTCAGGCTGACATGGCCTGGGCTTCCCCGCTGCTTAGTTATTCCAGGACCACCCCTTGGAAGCCCGGGCAAGCAGACAGGCCGGGCCCAGCCACCAGGGTCACAGCTGGGGGAGAAATGAGAAAGTGATTACGCCGTGACAGGAAGTGGCCTAAGAGGAAACTGGGAGGAGAGGGGCTCCAGAGCAGGCAAAGGCACTTCCTGAACCGGGCGAGGCGACCCACACCTGTAATCCCAGCACTCAGGAGGCTGAGGCAGGAGGATTGCTGTGAGCTCGAGGACCCTCTGGGCTACACAGTGAGCTCAAGGCCAACCTGGACTACACAGCCAGGCCCTGGTCAAAACAATAAGAACAAATCCACTTCCTGTTTTGAGCAAGTCCTTGGAGAGCTTCCTGGAGAAAGCAGCACCCTGGCTGAGGCAGAGGTAGGGCGCGAAACAGGGTAGCAGGATCCTCAGAACGGACCTGATATGCCGAGGAGTGCATGTGTAGCCACAGGAATCCAGCCCACACACACCCCTGTCAAGTGCTGTGGCAGCAGTGTGGACTAGACCCGTATGGGAATGATCCCAAATTCATGTTGCCGGTTGGGGAAGGTACCCAGGGCGCCCTGGCCTGCAGGCTGCTGAATTCAATCCATGCCCGGAAAGCCAATGCTTGCGAGAGGCACACATGGACTATTATTACTGTGCCTTTCACAGGAGAGGAGACAAAGGCCTCGTGGGGTCAAATCACCCATCCAAGCTCACTAGCCAGGGGTGAGGATGCTGAGACCCGGTCCTGCTGTGTCTCCTACTAAGAGGTCAGCTAGGGCTTGTGTACCACAATCTCAGCACCTTGGGGGCCACTGAGCTGCACACTTAGAAAGTGGGTTGAAGAAGACCTGTACAGCCAGGCATGGTGGTGCCCACCTATAACCCCAGCACTCTATAGCCAGCCTGGCCTTGAACTCACAGTGATCCTCCTACCTCAGCCTCCCCAGTGCTGGAATCATGGGCGTGTGTCACCATGCCTGGTCTATATAGTTTAAATCTGTGAGGATTTTCTTACTGATCTGCTAAAAAGATCTGCCTGCCTTCTTGGAACAGTAGTTTCAGCAGGAAAATGTAGAGAGTCACTTAAGAGGTGACCATGGGACCAGGTAGGTGCCAAAGGTGTTTGTCCTCCTCCTCCTCCCCTCTCAAGCAGAAAACTCATAATTCCCGGTCTCAAAATCCTGAAGGCCCAGGAGGAGTCTTTGATCTTGGCTGAGAACAAATTTAAAGCCACACCATAGAGCAGCAAAACCATAAAGCAATTTAGCAACAACTCTAGAATCAACTAATTCCCAGGGAGTGGAAAATGTGCTTGGGGGCGGTGGCCCAGTTACACACCCAGAAGAGGGGAGATCGCCCACAGCTGCTTGAAAGCCTGCACAAAATGCTTTCCTGGAAACCACACGGGGAGAGGTACCGTCAGAGGCCGGGGTCTCGGGAAGCGGCCCACGACCTGAACTTCAAACCTCTGAGGCCGAGTGAGGGCGGCTGGCGTCTAAGCTGCAAGCTTCTCTGCAGGGGCAGGGTAAGGGCGCTCTGGAGCTGGGGGCGAGGGTGAGGGTTTCGAAACCACAGTGCCACCAGGGCCGTCTCGAGGGGCGGAACTCGTGAGTTCTGCTGTCTGACCTTAGGCCCAAGCCGGGGGGCCAGGCCTGGCTCCTCGGAACCTCTTATGAGGTTCAGGGGCTACACCTGGAGGATGCAGCGCTGCCGCTGATCTCTACCTGCACAGTTTCTCAGGCTGATGGGGGAATCACAGGGCCCCGAGGTGCTGCGGGTGTTCTGGCCAGTGCTTCGGTTAAGACCGAAAACCAGGAAGGACCCTTTACTTCGGATTGCCCAAGACCAAATATTTGAGTCCAACCTGAAGAGAAATCAAGCTCTTTGGGAAGTCTGGAGGGGACTTAAGATGTTTTGGCTCCAACCCATCTGTCATAAGGGTCCACTCTTGGAAATGATAAAGCAAATATGTCTATGTTTTGTAATATATTAGTCACAGAATTTCTTCAGACTTCAGTCCTTAAGAAAAGGTGTTGGAGATAAGTTAAATGGTTTCTGTTTACTATAACTCAATAATGTAAAGTTTAACTAGAAAGTAATCTGAGTGGCTTTTGGAATAAACACTCAAAAACCCTCACAGTAGAAAGAGTGTCGGCTTCTGGATAGGTGTTTTCCGGGATCATCCGGGTTCGTATCCGTGTCGGGAAGGTTCACGGGAGCTCACGCTGCACCTGGTCACTCCAACTTCAAGGTCCCTTCAAGGCCAACTTGCAAAACACACAGGAAAATCAACTTTTGACCCCAAATGGTGACTCATGTCTTCAGTATTCTCTAGGAGTCCCCAGATTTGACCACAAATGGTGAGTCTATTTCTAAACATAAGCTTACCTTTAGAAGATTCAGATTTGCTGGCCCCAAAGATGGACCAAAATAAAAGGCTCCAAAGACGAGTCTTAAGAACAGTTGCTAAATGTGAACAGTTAGAAGCCCTGTGTGAAAGGGAGGCTGTCCAAGGGGGAGACCTTAAAGACAGATCACATGGCTCATCTGCATGTGTGTGCTCCTGTGTGCATGTGTGTGTGTGTGTGTGTGTGTGTGTGTGTGCGTGCGCAGTGCTAGGGAATCAAATCCGTGCACACTCTGCCACTGAGCTACACTGCCAGCCCTTTTTGGTTTTTCTTTTTTGAGACAAGATCTCACTAAGTTGCCCAAGCTAGCCTCGAACCTGCAATCCCCACTTCAGCCTCCTGAGTAGCTGGGATCACAGCTGCACACCACTGGGCTGGGCTCAACACTAACCTCATCTTTGTGCACCAAATGGGTGCACAGGGTGGCAGACCGCGAACAGGCCACACAGACAGGGCAGGGACGGAGGGCACAGAGTCCTGAGAGGGACCTCCTCGCATTAGCCTGTGCCTGCCGCTGCCCGGTGTGTTCTCTGACACCTCGAAGCTGCTTCCCCTTGGCCTCACCGGTCATGAGATTCCACACTCGCATCTCAAACCGGTTGTTCTTGACAATGTAGCTCATAGAGTAAACCGATTTGCAGGCTTACGTTGGATTTCATGCCTCGCCCAGCCTGGTCAAATTCTCAGTAATTGAAATGCCCAGGACTTGGCTCAATGCTAAGAACTACCTTTCCCCAAGAAACACATTTGCTACCCCTGCCCTCTCTGCTGGCCTAACGGCCTCTCTGCCAGGCCTCGGTGGGAACTGCAAAGGCCAGGCTATGAAGCCTCACAAACCTTTAAACGTAATCTGCTATGAGGATCCATTTGGCCAGACGTGGACCTATTATCAGAGCCTGCGAAGTACTCCGCTCAGTAAATAATCATTAAAATCCAATCCCTGCCAAGTCCCAGAGAAGAGGGACACGTGCTTCGCCAGAGGCCGGGAGGAGCTGGATGTGGGAGGGATTTGCAGAAAACCTTAGAAAGGGCCAAAGCGATCAAAAGCAGAATTTCTCCTGCTGTGCCAACAGACTGGGCGTGCTAGGCTCCTTCCAGGGTGGAGGGGGCTCCCGGCGGTGCAGGGGACGGGGCCTCTGTTGACAGCACCAGAGCTCCACAGTGCACCTCAGGGGTGAGGTTCTAGGCTTCCGTGACATCACTATGTAGCCCAGGCCGGCCGAACTCATGGGTTCCTCTGCCTCAGCCTCCCAAACGCTGGCATTATAGGCCTGTGGCACACCACACCCCGCCTCTTTATCTTTTTAAATCAGAGCTAAAAAGCTGAGTGTGGTGGTGCACGCCTATAATCCCAGCACTTGGGAGGCTGAGGCAGGAGAATCACTGTGAGTTCAAGGCCAGCCTGGGCTACATAGCAAGACCATGTCTCAAAAACAAACAAAACTAAAAAAATCAAAACTCCCACCCCTCTTTCTTACAGACTCTTTCTGATTAGCTACTGACTTCTTACCCAGTTGTAACTCAGAAACTCCCTTTCTTCGTCTTTCTGTCAGTTCTGTACCAGGTCAGGATTGGTCAGGAAGGGAAATGGCCTCCCCTGAACCCTTTTCCAATGCTGTGATAAGCAGAACGTCCGATCCACTGGGAAACAGAATTCAGGAAGGGCAGAATGTCAGCAGAGCCCGGTGGGCTTTCCTCCCTCCAGTTCTGGGGCTCAAGCCTAGGGCCGCTCTGCCTGGGGCTGGTCCCAGCCCTGGATGACTTAGTGACTTAGCGAGACCCTGTCTCAAAATAAAAAGGTAACAGGGCCTCAGGCTATAGTTCAGTGAAATGCCCTGGGTTCAATGCTCCGAACTGGAAATAAAGAAAAGGCGGCAGCTGTGATGTTAGCACGCATCATTCGCATCCAATCCCCGTTCTCTCCCTAACCCTGACCTGACTACCTAGGCTTGTAAGAACCATGGACGGTTATCCATCTATTTACGACCGGAACCCTGTAGGATGAACATCATCCCCAAATACAGATGGAGAGACACTTTCCCACGGAGAGGCTGAGAAACTTGCCCGAGGAGAGTGGGCAGCTACCCCGAACGCCTCACCATGGCCTCAGGTCCCGGGAGCCGCCCCAGAGCGCCTCGCCCAGGAAGCGCGCATGCCCACAGCCTGTGACGCCGCTCGACCTTTGCTGTCTCTCAGGCGAGGCCCGCTGGGGAGGCTCCGGGTGTCCCTAGGTAGCAGAGACCGAACAAGCCAGCAAGACAAGGACAGACCGGGCCTCTCCTTGTTTAGAAACCATTCTGCCTGGATTTGTCTGTCAAAGAGCAAGAAGCCCCTGTCCTCGATGTCCCTGAGAGATGGAGCTGAGAACGCGGCGGCCCCAGGGCACGCCAGTTTCTGCACCTCCGTCTTGAGTTCTGGAACGGCGTCCTCTCACCAGCAGGCAGGTCCATGGGGTCACCCTGCCCTCCTCGATGTGCTCTGTGACTGCAGGGCCCATAACGCCTGGGATTCCCGGGCTTCAAGGAGGGAAGATGGGTTTCCGGGGTGAAGGACCGGTCACCTGTGCCTCCGCTCCCTCGGCAAAGGTGAACGGTGACCTATGTGCTCGGCGGGTGCTGGGACACCACAAAGGGACATCTCTGTCCCCACATGCATGAGAGGACCCCAGACAAGGGTCAGCAGACACGTACTCTAAACAGGGCGTTGGAGAGGACACGAGATCAGGATTTTAAGGAGAGTAAATCTGTGGGGTGAGAGGGACTGAAAATAGGGTGGGGTTCTCAGGAGGGAGGCTGGGATAGGTCACACCGAGGAAGGGATATCTAGAAAGGAAGGCAACAAGCTCAAGTATACTTACAAACATGGGTGTGAGATTCGAATTTATAAATCCCATCCTATTTCCCACTAAGTTACACAATAACTTAAAATTATATTCCGTGGGAGGGACTGGGTTCCATCCCCAGCACTGCTAATAAGAATAATAATAAAACATAAATAAGCAGCAGTATTTAATTAAAACCTGACCCATCATCTTACCCAGTCTGCTGAGACTTCCTTGCTGTGAGACTCCCTTGAAGGCAAAGCTAAACTTCTCTAAGGAAGAACTTGTTTTCTTTTTGCCCACAGAACCTTCTAGAAAGTCCTGGCTGGGCATGGTGGTACACTCTCAGCACTCGGGAGGCTGAGGCAGGAGGATCCTTGCGAGTTTGAGACCAGCCTGGGCTACAAAGTGAGCTCAAGGCCAGCCTGAGCTGCATATCAAGACCCTGCCTCAAAAAGACAAAAAGAAAAGTCCTACAGGTGCCCTGAGAAGCTCACAGCCTCTCCTCTGCTGCCCACCAGAAAGGTTCCCCCAGTTCTGTTCCCCGGGGACCCAGCCCGGCCAGTGCAGAGAGCCACCGTGGGACACGAGGACCTGGACACCCGGAGGACCTAAGTGTCCTCCGCGGCACGTGGCCGGGGGACCTCAGGGGGCTCCATGTCCACGTGGAAAGCTCCATGCCCACCCTCTCGCCGGTGCTGAGGGCCGTGGGACGCTGCGCAGGGGTGACGCACGCGCGTTAGGGGCAGTGCTCTGCGCGCGCCTAGTCCCTCAGTGTGACGTCCCGCCGCGTTGCGGGCACTTGCCGGGGGATCCCGCCACCCTGGCGCGAGAACGTCTGCAAGCAGCGGAAACAAAGCAAGAGGAACCAGGGAGCCCGTGTGCGTGCGGAGAGGGGCCGCTGTGTCGAGGCGTCGCCAGCTGGTAAATCCAGGAGAAGAGCACGGGCGTTCGCGATCCTTTTCTTGTTTTTTGTTTTGTTTCATTTTTGTCTTTTTTTGGCGGGTCTTTTTTTGAGAGAGGGTCTCTCTATGCACTTCAGGCTGGCTTTGAGCTCACTTTGTAGCCCAGGCTGGTCTTGAACTCGCAATGATCCTCCTGCCTCAGCCTCCCAGGCGCTGGGATTGCAGGCGTGTGCCACCACACCCGGCTCCTGGCCCTACACATCTTAAGTCTTCCCTTCCCTCCCTTGCCTCTCCCCTCCCCCATCTCTTGGTCCCCTTCCCATTTGTAGGAGCGCAATCTCCCTGTTTCCTATTACCTATCTTTTGTTTTTCTTCTTACATTATTTATACTCTGGGGTTTTTGTATAAGAGAAACCACAGAACATTTGTGCATGTGTGTCTGATTCATTTCCCCTAACGCTGTGGTCTCATGCTGTATCCATTTCCTACAAGTCACTCAAATATGTCCTTCTTTATGGCAGAGTAGTGCTCCCCTGTACAGAAAATGCCACATTTTCTTAATCGATTTTGGTTCCAGGTGGAGAGCCTGCAATGAGGGTACTTTTCCCAGACAGGGCCTGGGGCCACCACTGCTCAGAGCCGCCCCTCAGCCATACTGCCTCCTCCTGGAAGCACAAACACAAGACAGCCTCAGCCCGGTGCCCAGGAGCCAGGCTGGGGCTCCAGGTAAACTTGGGTTTCAGATCTCAGAAGCACGAGGGATAATGTGTATGTAACATTCAACCCGACGGGTTAGTAAGGATGATTCATTAAAATTATGTTATCACAGCTCTTTAATCTCTCCAGGGACAGGGCATTTACATTATGGCTTTAGTATACCATTATATTGTTTTTATTGTGCAATTAACCTGATTTTAATAGACTGAAATGGCATGGTGTAACCCGAGGACATTGGCACAGAAAGAGTGGGGCGTTGCAGATGAGTGCCTGGAGCCGGACTTCCCAGCACAGCACGAAGGGTGATGCCAGTGAGCAACCCCTGGTCGCTCTGTGTCACCTGTGGGTTACTAGTGCCCGGGGAGGGAACGTCTCTGGCGCTGTCTTACAAATATTAAAAAGTGAACAGCAAGATGTGAAAAAGTATTCAACCTGAGAAATTAAAACAGTAGAATATAACTTTTCACTTATTAAAAGAAGAAATGAATGGAATCCATTGCATAATGCAGCATGTGCCCGGTGAGTGCATGCGTTGCGGCGGGTTCAGTACTAGAGGGAGACTGCAGCTTCTCAGCAGCGATCCGGTGACACCACGAGAGCGCGGAGAAATGTGCGTGGGGCGTGGTGGTGCACGCCTGTGATCCTAGCACTAGGGAGGCTGAGGCAGGAGGATCTACACTCATTCAAGACCAGCCTGGGTTGCATAGTGAGTTTGAGGCCAGCCTAAACTACACAGCGAGACCTTGTCTCAAAATGAATGAATGAATAAATGAATGAAAAAAAAGAAATGTGCAAGTGTTCTGACCCAGAGACACTGCTCTGAAGAATTCCTGCGAAGAAGACAACTGCGTACAGACGCTCACGGGCTGCAGTGTGATGTGGGCCGCTGCGTGGTCAGCGTGTGTATAGTAGGCCTCGGCACCACGGGTGGGGTCCACTCCAACGTCCACAATGCTCAAGCCCCTCTGTGAAGGGCGTGGTGTGTGTGCACACCTTGTGCACATCCTCTTGTATTCCAGATCACTCAACATAAGGCACTGCCTCCATCGCACTGATTTGCCTGGATTCACACTGAACTTGTTCGGGGGGCAAGTTTAAGTCACACTTTTTGGAGCTGTCTGGATTTTTATCCAGTATTTTTGATCTGTAATTGGTTGACTCCATGGATACAAAGGGCTAACTATAATAGTATGCATCATTAAGTGGCTGGCCTTGAACTTGCTGTGTAACCCACACTTCCAGGCTTCTTAAGTGATGTGTGCTTATCAGCCGGGCAGGGTGGTCCACATCTATAACCCCAGTACTCTGGAGGTTGAGGCAGCAGGATTGCTACAAGTTTGAGGCCAGCCTGAGGTGTACTGTGAGTTCAAGGCTAGCCTGGACTGTATAGCAGGATCCTCTCAAGCCCCCCCAACATATATATCATATATGTTCATGATATAAATAACTTACAAAATGTGCAAGCTTCCCGCAAGTCACAAAAGACTTGCCCTTGTATCCTGCCCAGCCCTCCCCACAGCGCTTCAAGGTGGCTATTATTTTACCCTTTGGCACCCCGTCAAATTAGAGAAGTCACATTCACCCACTGAATGGCAGAGCTGAAATCCAAACTGGATTCGCCCCTGTGGCAGCTCATGCTCGCCTGGACGAACCGACAGACTTCACGAAATAACCACAGGTGACTTTGAA